GGTGGTGGTGGTGGTGGTGGTGGTGGTGGTGGTGGTGGTGGTCGTAGTAGTAGTAGTAGTAGTAGTAGTAGTAGTAGTACCTGCAGTCAATCGCATCTGTTCCAATAAGCCACAACTTTTACGACTTCTGCCTGATGAGACATCTCAATAAGTGGACCCTCCACAAGCGCGGGCGAGTGCAGACCAGGCGCCCATTCTCGGATGAAGTTGGCAGGTCTTCGGTGTCACTCGTTTTCTACTTGTTTTCTCGTTTCACTCCGCGAGAAGCGCACCCCCTTGAGCCGCCATGCGGAAATGCAAGAGCTGTTTGAGACGCCCTCTTGGAGATGCCAAGTCTGGCACTTTCACGAATGCAAGAGCACAAAGAACATGAGAAAAAGAACGAACATGAGGTCTCACAAAATCATCACAATGGCCCAAAGTAGTTTGCTAAGAAGAATCGAAGCCTTTTTGCTGCGGAGCTCTCTTCGACAAGGCTTGGGAGGCATTGTCTGGGGCAGTTCGGTGGCCGGAGGGTCGACGGAAGGCCGAAGCTGTGCGATTCGGAGAGGGGGCGTTGCATGCGGAAACCTGGCGAGGACGACTGGATTCTCACCGCCACAAAGAAATCAACGAAGGTAGGTGAAAATGAACAGAGACTTTCCAACTCTGAACCATCCACAAAAGGCAATGAAAACACTTGTAGCTTTGCGGCGGAGAATCTTCTCCAGACATGCTCGAAGCGGCACCCAAATGCAGGGCCCTGCCATAATCTCAACAGCACAGCTCGTGTGGCACCTTTGAAACACTTGGACTTGGATCTCCTTCCCATCCACAGGCTTCCCATAAGCTTTCCACATCTGGAAACATTCTGACCGACAAACGCAGGTGCCAATGGCCATTTCTCGGGTCTTCTCCCCCATTGGCCCTCTTCGACAGCCCCCTTCGATAGCGGTGGCGCTCTCATCGATAACGGCGGAGGCGCATGAGGCTGTGCCTTCGCGCATGGCTGAAGGTCTGGAAAAAGGCATCAAAACCCGTGATAAAACCCAACCAGGGATATCATATGCAAGGTAGAATCTACCAGGTAGATGACACATCCAAGGAAGGGCTTAAGCGCTGAGAGAAACATGATCATGATTCCAACGGGACCACTCCGCTGCTGGCCTCCGGTAAACTGCTCGGGCTGATGGGCGCAGCTTGGTCGCCTTAACATGTTCTATTTTTCTTCCGAAAGACCTGGATGTTACAAACCAAAAGGGATCGAATATAACAAACATACATGTGCAATACATGTGCAACCATGTACACATGCCAGATATCCCCCCACACCAGAGGTAGATGATTTCGTGAGGTCCGGGCACGCTTGCCCTTCTTCAGCAAACCGCGAGCCTTGCGCCCTGCTGCTGTGACACCTCCGAGGCACAGGAACAATAACTCCCTACACCACCTGGATCTGCGTCCTTCATGTTTGGCAACCTCGCCAAAAGTTTTATGAAGAACAGGTACAGAAGTTTCTGCTGGAGCATCGTTGCGAAGGGAGGGAAGCGCTACGGCCGTAGCTGTGTGTATGTGTGGACGCTGGCACCAGCCTCGCAACTCACGATGCTTCATCACAGGCTTGCAAATCCTTGGCAAAGTTTCTATCACACCAAATAGAAATCTGTTTTTCTGTAATTTCTCAACACCTCTGTGATGCTGTCGCGTCAAATCTCAACCAAGGCTTGCTTGGTGCACAATACGCACATCTCAGTCCAACCTGCCCGCTTTTGAGTTGGTGCGGGCTCGAGGGGGCGGGCATGGGTGTGGACATGTGTTTGTGTGTCTTGATAAACGTTAAAGCATTGGAATGGAATAGCATAGCATCGGCCGAAACTTCTTGGCCTCTTGACCTTTCACATTGGGTCCGTTTTGAGGCCTCCTTTTGTTGATGAAAACTCTAGCACGAGACTGGATGTCCGTGAAATCACGAACTTGCTTCAAGAAAGCCCTGCACGTCCCACACGCCATGGCAGACTGCAGGGTCATTCATAGACATGATTGAATTTGGTACTACAGTGATCCAGAAAAAGCCAAGAATCCAGTTGATGCGTGGGTCGTTGCGGATGGCATTGTGGAAGGGATCCACCATCACCACTTCGTACCACTTGTGCATCGCATCCTGTGACACAAAGAAGTCTTCAGCTCTTATACAACATCAATGTTGCGGCGTTTATCCGATCACAATCCAGAAGTCATTGACCCTCCAATCCAAACAGTGCTTTGACTTCTTCCCGCCTGTGCCACCCAGTAGGAGTTCAGGACTCGCAGGGATCCGCACTTGCGTCCGACGCGCTCTTCGGCAATGGAGCGGAGGTTTCGCACGGCCTTCCACTTGTTGATGCCTTGGTTCACCTCAAGTAGAGCTGGTCAGGCTTGCAAGCTGAGGTCTGCTGTGCACTCAGGCGATCTGATGATTGTTTGGTGAATCAGACTTTTTTGAGGTTCCATTTCACCTTGCGACGAGTCCCTTCACCTCTTCGAAGAGGCTAGTGCCTTGGCCTTGCCAACGGCCAAAACACCAGCCTGGGTCTCCAAAGCATGCGAAAGGACAAACAGCCAAGTGACTGGCTTGCCATAGACGATGCCCTGGACAGGGATTCAGGGTGAAAACATATAGGCTTCCATGGGTGATTCCAGGGCTAGATTATACAAATGAGTCTTCACTTTCGACTGGAGTCTTCCTTTGGGTGTCTGCTCGGCGAAAAGACTACGGCGACCTCTCGGACTGCCTTGGCCACGCGCTTCTTGCGGTCTCCTCGCTTCACGCGGACGCGGTAGATGCAGTAGCCCTGCTTGGCCTTGGACGAGGATCCAAACTGCGTGGCCACTTTCTTGTTTGCGGTGTTCGATACGGGAACACAGTCACGCGTTATCCTCTCTTCGTATTTTAGTCCCACTTTGGCTCAGCAAAATAGTTCCCACTGGCCTAGAAAATTGGGTCTATATGTTTTTTCGTTTTGAGGTTACCCATGTTCTGTTTTCTACAGTCATCTACCCAATGATGTATACCTGTCCAAGAACGCAAGAATCCAACTGCCCCTCCCAGAAAGGCCAGCACGCCTTGTAGCCCACCTTTCGGGCTTTGTCCGGGCGGGTTGGTCGGCTACAACGATGCACTGCAGGCAACCTCATGGTGAAAAGGTCGTCACTGAAATGACCAGAAAACGCTCACCACTATTTAAGTTGACAAGACCGCTCACCGAGAATTGGTAGTGATTAGCAGTGATTAGCAAGTGGAAGAAATCCTAAAGGAACAAGGCAACAGATTCCAACGCAGCAACCGAACAAGAGCTTGACATGTCAAACCTGCTGTGAATTGCTGCCTGTTGATCTGACACGCTCTCGTCGCCCTGGGGCTCTACGAAGCGCACGAAGCCACGTCCGCAAGAATTGAGGCAGGTTGCTGACGGAACTCCCAGTTCCGCATGCGCGCAAGGAAGCGCATCACGTCCTCAAATCCAAAAGAAGTGAAGGTGTTTGTACCCACTGTTCGCCACAGAAAAACAGGTTGCTGGCTGATTGCAATACTGAGCCTTCCGGTGGCCTTCCCCTGTGAAATATGCATATATATATACAGTATTTATTTATGAATACCATATACATCAATGTAGACCAAATAACAGGGTTAACTCCAGATCAAGCCAAAGCTGCAGACTGCTTCTTGCGCCACATCTCCTCGAGGTACTTGTAGGCTCCTGAGTAGCTGATCAGAACCTTTGACTTTTTGAAGGCTACAACTCTCCCAAATAGAATGGTGAACTTCCTGAGTGACAGCTAGCACTGATCCTGACAAAGCAGTGGACTAGTCCCTTGCAAAAGTTTTTCATTATTTGCAAGTTGGAACCTCCATCCTGTCACAACGGTACTTTCAGCATACAAGTATGTCAGGCCGCAGTCCCACCATGTCCCACCCGTCTGAGTGCGGCACCCATGTTTTCGATGAAAAAAGGCTCTTCCGCGTCGCACTTGTCGATCGATCACTCCGCGTCGCACGCCCCCGTCTTTGAGCCCAAAATCAGCAGAGGCTTCGCCTGATCCTCCGGATGTGCCCCCTTGGTGGATGACAGGACCCTTCGTCGTAAGCTCACGAGGGCAGGCCACATAACGATCCCTCTATGCACACCTCCAATCTCTCTTATCAGGTACATGTATCAAAGATTTCCACCTACAGCTTTCAACCGAAATTACAACTGAGCAGGTCTTGCCACTGCACTGCTCAAACAAACAACAAGCAAGGGTCCAGTATGTCCTTTTGAAAGGGTGCCATGGCCTCTGTCAGCTCTGCAAGATTCTAGATTCCGCAGCCCCAACCGTGCCTCATGTGTGAAGTGATGAATTCCTCGGCTGGAACAGAAAAGACTGCAAAGTGGCTCCGGCCGACTTGGACGTCCAAAAGGACGCTACTAGGGGCTCCTGGCCTTACTTCTAGGAGCAAGGACGCTACTAGGAACAAAGGGCATCGCTACTGGTAACAAGAAGCTATTAGGCCCAAATGTGCATCAGACCAGCGCAAAATCAGACCTTGAGAATCCTTGAGACCTTTGCGTGAGATCCAAAGGGACTTTGGTGAACGGAAGGCACGGCATGAGCGACAAAAAGGAGACTCGCAAAAGACATGGTCGTTGCCATCATCATTTTCAACCAAAGACATTCTCGTTGTTCACAACCCCGAGCCAAAGAAGGTCCAAGCAGCTTGATTGCAAATCCGTTCCGCCGCCAAGCTATGCTTTACATTTGCTCGGACGAGATCTATATACTTCGGAGCAGTGCACATGTCGAACTGTGCGGTTGACAAAAAAGACGACGCCAAAAAGGTTATGTCAAGCAATTGGAGAATTCCCACAAAAATGCTGAAAATCACAGGCTTCTGAACCCAAAGGAGCTCCAGAAAATGAACAATAAGACCAAGAATGAACCTTTCATGAGTGAAGTATAGCCTTGTGTCAAGTATGAGCTGAGGAGTTGTGTACGTAAGAAAAGGACACCTCGCATCCAAGCAAGAGCAGCTAGCAGCGGCCTTTTTGGATCATGCGGCGTCATCAGTCCAAGCTGACGGGTCCCCAAACAATCTCCCTGGGCGTGCGAAAATCATGGCAACTCAAAAGCAAAACAGTGAACAACCTCCATTCCTACTATGAACAAAAGCTACTAGGTGGAGGGCATCGTTATTAGGTTGGAGGCCATTCCTACTAGTAGCAAGAATCTACTAGTAACACGTTTGCACACAACGCAGTTGCACAAGTGACATCATTGCACCGGATAGCAAGAGTCCTGAAGTTGCCAATCCGGGAGGCCCTTGGATAGAAACCGTCCAGTTGAAGGTTTGACATTTGGCAAAAGGGGTGAGCTTCCTCGCAGTCAATCACGCAAAGAAGCTACACCTGCTCCACAGGTTCATCAGCGCCTTCCGAATCACAAGAGCCCACTGCATGTGGCCTACTAGTGAATTTACCTTGCGTCTCGAGGAGGAATAGAATCACAAACTGCGCCAATGGTGTCTATGTGGAGCTGGATTGCGTCCTCTCAGCTCAGCAGCAGCCGCTGGACTTCTTCTTCTTGCTCTTCTGGCAAACAACAAACGCGCATTGAAGCGGTTCATGGACGGA